GCCCCGCCGCAACGACCTAGCCCACCCGAGCCGGAGCCGGATAACCAGGCTCACGGTGATCTCGATAAGCTGCTCCATGATATGATGCTCACCGTCGAGGTAACCTCTCTCTTCGTCGATAACTTTTCCAACGTGTCACGATTCCGGGACAAGAGAAAGAAAATAATTTTTTTACTCGATAATCGGAACGAACGAATCTTCTTAATTTCAGTCGATGCCAGATCCCCCAACGGAGGACTACAGAACGGACAGGAGCGAGAAGATGTACATACAAGAAACTCGCAGCTACAGCAGCCACGCGAGCAGCCATTCCCCCTCCACTTATTCGACGCTGAAGGATTCGTACAGGAATTACAGCACTGGGAAAGAATCGAGCCCCCCGTACAACTCGAGCAGCAGTTACAGCACCCTGAAGAACGAATATCGCGAGCCACCCGCTAAGATCGATCATCGATCAAGGGACGAGTTCGAGTATCGCGTGTCGCCCGACCGAAAGATCTCCGAATCCTCGACCGATCCGTACAGGAAGCACGGTGACTCGTTCTCGCCCCCTGGAAATATCGATTACATCGACGAGGACATACCTTATCACGCCAGGCAGACGAGTCAACCGTTCTCTTACGGCGCCACCACCGACATGCTCAAACATCAGAAACTTTCTTCCCCCTCTTTGGTGAGGAAGGCGTCTGTACGCGGCACCGCGCCCGTCGTCGATTTCGAGGACATTCTCGGCGAGAACTCGAGGAGACCCATCAGCCCTTTGAGCCCGAACACCCCCGATCCACCGCCAGAATTCGCCAACGGGTCTGCTAAGAACACCTCGGATCACGTGGACGGGTGAGTGATGTTATATTTTTCTCGTGTAACTTTTACGGATTTATTAATTAAAAGTATTAAGGGACGATCTCTCGAGCTTATATATTCTTCTAAGATAATAAGAGATAATAGATAATAAGAGTTTAAAATATCGCTTGTTGAAAAATAATTTCTTCGAAAGAACGTATTATTATCTTTTCTCTTTCGAAAAAGAAAACGATCTTTAGAAAGATGACGATTCTTGTCAAAACGAGTACAGCTCCTCTCTCTTTCTCTCTCTCTCTCTCTCTCTCTCTCTCTCTCTCTCTCTCTATATATATATATATATACCCTCGACAAACCGATTTCGGAGTCCCTTTTCCTGGCACGATTCCCGGCTAACGTTTAACATCGGACAAGCTATACTACGTGTAACAAATCCCATAATTAAATGCGCTCGGCCCGTCTCTAATAATACTTCGAGGGGTGAGACCGCGATGAGGCCCGGCTCGGGGAACGTACATTGTGAAACTGATGAGGAGAGACGGGGAGAGAGATCAGGAGGAGGTGGAGGAGATTTTCCGCTCGGGATCGAAGGCGGAATGGTGAACTGGCGGAAACTGGGCCATTCCACTGGCAGAGGTTCCAGTGGACGACGGACGTGTCGCAACTCCTCCTTCCTCCGAATAGGGCGCCGCAAAAGGACTCGATCGAAACGAGAGAGAGCGAGAGAGGGAGAGAGAGAGAGGGAGAAGGGTAGATGGAAAGGACAGGAGGATAAAGGACGTACAATTAATAAATTGTCTACCCATAGGCGGACGCGATTGCGACGCAGTGCGGTCGTCGTATTTCTGCCAGGAATGGCGAACGCGGTCGTCGTGAGTCATTGTCGGCCAGCCGGTGCAAATGGAAAGAGAAAAGTCGGTGGATGCGGACGATGCTGGCACGGACACGCGTCGTATCGCGTTATGAAATACGAGTTTCGCGGTCGGAGGATGGATACTGGCGAGCCAACGACCGCATTGTCGCCTCGTTGATTCGCCGTTCTGGAACGTTGCGTCCAGTTTTAGAAATATATCGGAGAGCGGAGTTGACGGAGGAGAGAGAGAGAGAAAGAGAGGGGAGGGGAATTTTAATCGAATTTTATTCTCAGACACGAGATTGTTCTATTTTCGATGTTGTCGTTGATTGGAGAATTGATCATGGGGAACGAGCTCGCGTGATTAACCCTATGCACAGAAATTATTAATTCTTGGATCGAGTCGGAATATATCCATTTGAATTAATCTAGATCTTCAGTTTATTCCACGCGATATTCGAGAATATTAAAATTGGTGGGGAGCGAACGAGAAATGGAACGTTTCAGACTTTTCGTTATTCAAAAGATCGCGCGGGTGAAAGATTTTTCCAAGATTTTTCGACTCGATCGAACGATTCGATTCTCTCCCTGTTCGAAATCTTATTTCGAAACGAATAAGATCCGACACTTAACAAGTTTGTTAAACCGTACGTTACTGGAGTTCGTCGAACTGGACTGGCAGTCACCGTAAAATACTCGTTTCGTTTTGTGTATCGAGTCGCTGGAGGGCCGAAAGCCGTGAAAATAAACGTCCCTTGTGCGGAGCCGAGGCGGAGAGCGAGCGAAACCGCAAGTTTCGCCCGGATATTTATGAAGAAGCGTGATCCGCTACGACGGAGAAACAGGCGACGTTTATGGTCGAGGAGGTCGACAGACGTTTGGCAGGTCTGCTTTCTCAGCCGCAAAGAAGCTCTCCTTTCGGGGGCTTCACCGTTCGTTCCTCGTCTCTCGATCCTGCTTTTCCTCCCTACCCTCCCCGTCCCGACTCGTAGCTGTTTAAATTCCATCTACGGCCGCTGCTCTGCCTCTGAAACAATCGTTCCGAGTACCGGAGGCTATCTGTACCTCGATCGATGCCGTTTCATCCGATTTCAAGATAACATTCCTCCCTTTGATCCCGTTCGTGGAAATAAATTGTCGAGTACTCGGAAGCGATTCTCGCAATGGGACATTTTCAAAAATGTTTCGTTCGCGAAATCTCGTCCCGATTTATATAAGGAAAATCCGAGAAGAGAAATGGAAGATTCTCGTTTAATATTTTATTTCCTTTCCATTTCGTTAATTCGTACGGTTATTATTTATATATACAAATTTGCAAAGTTTCGAACGAATCGAAATCTTCAGGGTAAAATTGGAAATGGTGGCTTTAAATTTTTTAAGAATCCAAAAACTTAGAAAACGGTGACGATTGATTCCATTAAGAAACCGTCTACGGTATTCGAGGAACGTCGCCGAAAATACGACGAAAATAGAAATATTCTGAGACTCGTTGAAGGGAGAGGGAGAATGTCCCTATTCGCGGGACTCCGACCGCCCTCTGACATAATTATAAATATAGAACGGTAAATCGGCCGCCACCAGACTCACCCCTTTTGTTTTTTCTTCTTCTTCTTCTTCTTCTTCTTCTTGTTTTTGTTCCTCTTCTTCCTCCTCTTCTTCTTTTTCTTCTCCTTCTTCCCCACTTTCTCGTTTGTTCTTTGTTTCCCGCGCCTCTGCAACTGCATTTTCTTTCCGCTGGCAATTTTTCCATCGCCGGAGGAGCTTCGTGGAAGCGGAGCGCTCGGATACGGAAGTCATTCGAAGCAGAAAGAGAGCACAAAAGCGGTTCGTAAAGGCTTCGCGCAATTTTCCACGACGAGCTCGCGTTTCCGACGTCCTTTCCGGACCTATCCTGCCCGAGACTACTCTTCCCTCTAACCGCGATATTATTTCGAGGAAGATCATTCTCTCGCTCCGTGAAAAATTCTCTCGTGCTCCATGCCGAGATAAATCGTCATTTCTCCGGGAAAATACCACCGTAGACTTCGAATTTCTTCTTCGATATTTTATAAATTTCCTTCTCAAATTTAATTCATTTCGATCGTGGAACGGTGATTCTTTGCTTTTGTGGATTTCTCGCGAGGTCGTAAAATGTGAATATTTTTTTTAGCAAATAGGGAAGTTAATTTTTAATATTTACTTTTCGTCGATGGTTTTCTCTCGCTAGGAGAATTTCGAATTTTTTTTAAAACCTCGTTCGAAACTTTATTTTTTAAAACTTTATTACTAACAGAAAAGAGAGATAAATATCCGTAGATAGATATCTGCAAATCGATCGATATCAACGCGTGATACGGCAAAAAAGGAGAAGAATTAGCTGTCTCAAAACGATCGACTCGTTTTTCTTACTTCACGTGGAAAGAAGTAATCTCAACTAATTTGAATGTTACAACAAGTAATACTCGCAATAATTCGTTCTTAGAAATAGTAATCGAGCAATCGAATACACTCGAAACACGACGTTAAAATTTATAGCCCCTGTACAGAAGTTAACGCGAATTTACACTCATTGCTTCAGAATTTATAGTTATTGTTACTCTTCCAAAACGCGGACTACGAAATTGCTATTAAACAAGGTTACACGCCGTAAAATATTGGCTACACGAAACGAAACTGTTTTACATCCGACCTAGGAAATCGCGTGAACGATCCCGAAAATATCTCGTGTCGAAAAAAAAAAAAAAAAAAAAAAAAATTGGATCAACGTAACGAGCCCGTTTTATTATTCGAAACGCGAGAATCTTTTGCGGAGATAGAGAACGAGGATATCCGTCTCGATTTATTTCAAACCGATATAGAATCGGGATAGAACGCTTGTCCTCGTAAATTCCATTGCCGTTAAATTCCCTCCCTCCTCCCCCCTTTTTTTTTATTTCGCGAATGGATATGGAACATTTTAATTTCACCAGAAACGTAGAACGTTTCGTTACGTTCGTGCGAATTCTACGCGTGAATATGAAATGAAATCACCGTTACGATATTTCTTGGCCAACTTGGATTTTTCGATTGATATCATTTTCAGAGGGACAGACGCACAGGAGAAAAATGCGAGCGATATTCGTTTTTTTCGCCAACATTTATTATATTAAAATCCAACGGCGTGTATTTCTTTGAAAAAAATTTCAAAAATCGTCGATCATTCCGTTTGCGTTTCTTTGAGTTTAATACAATGTCGAAAGATATAAAAATTAAAAAAACAACGTAACGAGTATATATATATATGAAATCGGTAATCAAATGTTTGAAGATGGCTATATTGTGTTCAAACGGAATGGGAAATAATTTCTCGATTTTCGTGCAAGTCGGGAACAGAAATCTTCTTCGTCTTAAACGTTGCAGTTTCGCGAACGGAACAGACGTTGATCTTTCAAAGCTCGTTACACCCCCTCCCCTCCGTGGAAGGGGGTTGATTTTCCATCAGTTTGCAGGCACTGAGAAACCCTATTTACGGTTCTCTCTTTCACCGGCGTGAAATTTACATCATCATCGTTTGATCTCTCGCGGCGAATTAACTTCTCATCCAAACTTGATGCGCTTCCGTGCACGAGCCTCTGACGAGGATTTCGTTCGGATTCGTATAGCTCGTCCTTCTCGTTCGAAGCATTCGAAGCTTTCGCTTTCGTTTCAAAATCCTTTCAATCCCCGCAAATATTTACATAGATATTCGATGCGACAAACACCAATCGACGAATACCAAGCGCGATAACGGTTTAATTTATTAACGGAAAAAAGAGGGATAAAAATCGTTTCCGCTTCGCGACACGATCGCCTCCATTTAGTTCACGATTCGCTCGATCGCGAGGGTGTGGCCGTTCCACGGCGAGGAACGAATTTCGTTAGCCGTTAAAAGGGAGAAAGATAAAAACCGGATGGGGGGAGGAGAAGGGGAGGGAAGTCGTGGATTTATTACAAAGGGGGGAGAGGCACCGCGAGCGAAACACACAAACGGAAATCGATGGCCCGGAGCCACTCCATCGATCAGGATGCAATTATCTATCTCGGTAGGAGGTCCTGGATTCCGGCCTTCTTCCGACTCTGGAACCGTGACGTGGCCCCGTTCTAACGAGGCTTTGTTACACGCTTCCGTGCCCCTCGTCTCGTGTTCCCCTCCCCGAGAAAGTAGCTTCTCGTGTTTTCGTCGCCGCCCGGCCTCGCGAGTAACTCGAGTCGGTGTAACTCTTCCTCCTAGGAAGGCGAGGAAAGCGAGAAATCACGATTTACAGGATGAAAACAGCTGGTTCGCGGGAAGTAGCCAGAGATTCTAATCCGTGACAGGTGACAAAGGATCCGCGGTGTAACATTCGCGGATCGAGCTTTCTTTCCATTCTTCTTAAAGAGGAAGAGTTACACGCTTGAGAAAGAGAGAGAAAGAGAGAGAGAGAGACTTCCTGTTTCTTCGATTCCTTTCTCGGGATTTTCGCACTAGTTTAAGTTACGGGTGCACTAGTTAAGTTACGGGTGCACTTCTCTTGTGATTTTGTCTTTTGCGGACGGATTAGGTTGGGCGAAAATTATTAGAAGCAACGCGGTGATTAAGAAAGTTTTTCGGCGCGGAATGGGAAAGTTTTACCTTGTTTCCTCTCTTCTCTAGATTATCATGGTTGAGGCAACAGCAGTTGAAACTTGCCGCGAGGAGGGATGAAAGAAACCCGGGGAAACTTTGGCGACAAGAAACCGGAAATCGCGTGATCGGCGAGCTGAGAAGCTTGCAGAGGGGAAGGATGAGGCACGATGGGTACGCCAGCGATTCTGCGGTTCTCGACGACGATGAGGACACGTGGCTTGTCAATTCCACTTCCGGGCAGGTAAAAAAGAAGAAAAAAAATCATTAAAACAGTGCTTGAATTTCTCCAAAAATTTCATCATCGAATCAAATTACCTCCTTTGATCTTCCAATGATCCTAATCTTTAATACAACAACAGTGAAAAAATAATAAAGTTAAATTTCTTCTCTTTTTCCTTTCGCGAATATTATTTTATATCAACTTATTTTATATCAGCTAACAAAGTTTGTGACTTATAATTTTTCAGTCACAATCGAGGGTAGCTCTTTACACAAAAAAAAGAAAAAAAATCATTAAAACAGCGCTTGAATTTCTCCAAAAATTTCATCATCAAATCAAATTACCTCCTTTGATCTTCCAATGATCCTAGTCTTTAATACAACAACAGTGAAAAAATAATAAAGTTAAATTTCTTCTCTCGCAATTTTCCTTTCGCGAATATTATTTTATATCAACTTATTTTATATCAGCTAACAAGTTTGTGACTTATAATTTTCCAGTCACAATCGAGGGCAGCTCTTTACACATCCGCGCCGGCGAGCCCGTTGCTTCCGCAACGGTCGAGCAGCCGGAAGTACAACGGTAGCACCGGAACCGGTACCCTGGGACGGCCACGGGCCGAGAGCGTGAACGAGCGTCCCTTCATGTCCGTGAAACGGGCATACGAATATCGCAAATACAGCGACAACCAGGTAAACCGAGGAAGTATATACGCTGTGCACAGTTGGAGAGCAAGTAGTTAGAGATAGGGGGGGCAAGGGAGGGGAGGGGGAAAGAAAAAAAAAGTAGTTTGCCCCGGCAGCACACGTGTGTGGGCAGTGGGATCGATCGTGTTTAACGAGCGCTTCGTGTCCAGGAGCATAATAAAATGTTTATCGTCGTGTGCATACATACGATACGAAGGGAACGAGAGCACGCCGCTCGATTACGCGAAATAAATATTTATTAAGCCGCGGGATGGGAAAAGAAAGAGAGGAAGAAAAGAAAAAAAAGAAAAAGGAACGTGGTATTATTAGGCCGGGAGCCATTTCACCCGGAGCGGTGAACTACTTAAAATAATTATCGGTAATAAGGATAATAAATCCGAAACGGCGGCACGATCGATTCTACCTTTGCGCGAATGAAACGGCGGCAGCACGAACGCTACAATTTAGCCCCTCGTAGATCGCGATTGTAAAACCAGCTCCCACTGCGGTCCCGTGTTTTATGGTTATATATATGCTCCACAGTTAGATCCTAAACAGCAACAACAACTCCTTTTACACCGTAGAATTCGCAAAAGAAGAGAATGAAAAAAAAGAAAAAAAAGAAGAGAAGAGATCGCTTTCCCTTTAGTGCCATGAGTATCTATAATTTAACCCTTTCTTCTGCCCACTTTTTTCCACCGATTATTACGGCGGTTTTATTAAGCGAGGCGTTGCTCGCACGATTGATGCTACTATTAGAGTCGAAGCTAATTTTACGATACGAAATTTCTTTCTTACTCCACTTCTTCGATAATCGCGATATACCATACGTATCGAAATTTATCGTGGTTCATTTCCAACCCGGCCTCGTCGCGTTGGCGCGAAACGTGGATCGCGTTAAAATTTAATAGGAGGCCGATAGGTTGGAAATTAACGCGATTAACCGGCACGGTAATGGAGGATCGCGGTGATCCGATCGGTAATAGGGAAATGAGCCCGTGTAAACACTCGGTGGCAGGAAAGGATTAAAACAACCCCGTCTCCCTCTAGCATGAAGCGCTTGGCTTGCTTTTCAGAGCCCTCCGACATCCCCCCGCTCAGGCTTAGCAAGCACGCGACCCTTAGGATTAGCAGCGCAGCTACAAACACCGTTCATTAACACGGACAAGCCTCAACCACCAAGGCCAGAGTCGCGTAGCGACAGCTTTGCTCGGGCTGACGCTTTGTTGCGCGAGCACAACAGGCAGCAACAACAGCAGCAGCTGGCCGCGAGCAACGCGGTCAACACGGAGCAACAGAAGCAACCGATTGGCCAAGATTTCGCCACGACCATGTCTCGTAACTCTCGGCCTGAATCGAGAAATCGAATCGTGTGTTTGAGCTCGACCACGTTGGCCGGAGGGAACGTTGAAAGGACCGCCGACCACGTGGACGGAGGGTTGTTGACGATGGTCAATGATCAGCAACAATCGAGCGCGCGCAACAATCCGGACCCTCTCGTGAGCCTCATTCAATCATTGGCTGAAATTTCGCCCATTCGATCATCCCAATCGGTGACTAACAACAACAACAACAAGACAGACGCGAACGATCATCATGCGCCGAGTATCGGCTCAGCAACCACCACCACCACCACCACTGCGAGCAGCAACGTTGTTAACGCCATCACTAATTGCTCCCCTAACCAGTCGCCCAAAGCATGGCAGAATTGCACCCAGGTTTGTCCTCCTGTCTCCTCCATCCTCGCTCAAAGTAGTTTTCACTGTTCGCACGGGAGGAGAGAGATTTTCATCGTTTTCTCTTTATCCAATTTTTTTAACGGACCGAACATTTCCACTTTCTCGATGAGATATTTCCTGATTGTTCTTCTAATCGGCGAATCCGTGTTTTTCGAATTAAAAAATTCACGATTAATGTAAAAAGTGTATCGTAAGACATACGAACAAAATTTCTCTCCGATCGTTCCACGTATCTACCATGTGTTTTCACCACAGATCTTATCTTTCGTACATTTTCGAAAATCGCTTGGAACACCACGCTTGAACCGGAAGCACTAGAAGAGTTTTATAAGTATGCCGCATCTTTTTTTTGCAAACGAGAAAGCATACTCGAAACGTTGAGTAGGTTAAGGAAAAAAAGGATGGTTAAAAATCGGACGAAAACTTGCAGTCGCACAATGACTCGGCTTCATCGTGGACCGAGAGGAGCGTAAGTCCCGGAAGCGCGGTGGTGAGCAGCGCGTCGAGGCCTCAAACTCCGGCGTTTCCGGTCCATCCTCGGACCCCGTACGTGAACAACTCCTCGCCCACGGTCACGTTCGCGGCTGATCGCTCCTACAGCACGAACGCCACATACAACGTGAACAACAACAACAATAATTTAAATAACGTCGAGGCAGCCGGGAACAACAACAACAACGTCGGAAATTACGCGAGCGAACGAACGATCTACATCGAAGAACGAAGAGAAGTCTCGAAAGAGACGGGGCTTCCACCCAAGAGTCCGACAACACAGAGGTGGGTTATTATTTTTCCATCGTTATTCTTCCATTAATTTTCGTTAAATTGTTTTATTCGATCGGTGTAGATTATAAAATATTCGATGAAAATATCAACAAAGAATAATTCGTGATTAATTGTTTTTCTTTCTTTCGATCGATTCAACAATTGAGTTCGATAGAATTTTTATTAGGATAATGATTTAGACTTAAAAGGTACGATTAATTCAATTTTTTCAAATTAAAACAGGATGATTTTCCTTTTCTTTCTTTCTTCTTTTTTTTTGAATTATTTTTTAAAACGAGGCAAAAATCATTCGATGGAGTATTTATCTTCCATCGAACATTGCTGGTGGAGCAATGATTATGACACAGAACGATATTCGTGATTCTAGACGCTTGAGTTTCCCGGCAAGCGGGCCACTTAAACAAACGCATAACAAACGATGGCCGCTCACTAACCAATCGGCGTCGTTCGACTATAGGTAATATATTATTTCAGAGCACTGGAACGCGTGTAAAATGATGGATCCGCGTTTCTCAACGACGGGATGCGCCGTGAATGTTTAATGTCGTGCCACTAACTATCTGTATCGGTGTATATACGTTATCCAGCTGCAACCGTATCGCGAAGTAAGGGACGCGAAGTAAAATATGGGAATCGATAATGTAAAATTAATTGGAATATTTGAAAGGCATCGAGGGCATGGCATGATTGAAATGGAGATTGATCGATACGGTTGCAGA